TTTTAATCCTGATGAATGTGTTTCTTCTGGAACAGAATGAGAGATTGAGATTGTTACTGCAAGAGCAAAGAAAGCAACAGGTTGGAATAATGATGAAGAAAATAGAATCCAAGGCTTCTGCTCTTTTGAGACAAAAGGATGAAGAGATTGCGAGAGCTGTCAACAAAACAATGGAGCTGGAGAATCTCTTGAAGAAACTGGAGATGGAGAATCAGGCATGGCAGAGGGTTGCGCAGGAGAACAAAGCCATGGTTCTTTCTCTCAACAGCACTCTGGAACAGTTGAGGGAAAATGCTTCCCATTGCTGTAAGAATGTGGCAGAGGACGCAGAATCCTGCTACGAAGATAACAGAGAAGAGGTAAAAACAGAAGAAGAGGGACAGGGAAGAAGAAATACGACACCCACAACAACAATGGTTTGCAAATGCTGCAATACACGGAGTTCATGCGTATTGCTTCTCCCGTGTAGACACCTATGTTCGTGCAAAGATTGTGAGGCGTTGCTTGATTCATGCCCTGTTTGTAAAACAGGGAAGAAAGCCAGCATAGAGGCATTGATTTTCAGGGGAGAAGAGTTATCCGGGAAAATTGAAGGGAATAGTCAAAACCGGAAAAGGAAATCTGATGATCTTGATTATGGTGCATGGGATGAACTGCAACAGAACCTTTGTGTATGGTAAAAGCATCATTTTTTTTTTGCTGTTGTTTGCTTTTTAGGTTGCCTTGGCCTTAGATGCAAAATGAACAGGGGAATTACAGGGCAGAGCATCTTTTTCTTTTTCAAGGGTTGTATGGGTATATAAATTTTGGCAGATTGATTTGATTATTAACATCAGGTTTCTCGCCATCCACGAATTTGTCAGTGATAACGCAGTTATGCAGTTAGTAAAACTGTTCACACATCACTCATGAAAAAAAAAAGAAGAAAAGTTCATCATCTTGACTCTCTGCAACGTGTTAGGAAAGACACATCCCCTCTTTCTTAACCATAATAGCAATGCATTTTACAATTAGCAAGCCAAGAAAATACTAATTAATTGAGTTATGTAAAATCGGAATCATTTTTTACCCAAAAAAATCGAAATCATTAGATCCGCACCATGATGCACCATGATAAATTCAAAATTTTCTGAATAAATAATTACTCAAATACTAAAATTTAAATACCACAATTACACCCACAACTCACAATACAATAATTTCAAAGAAAACCTTAATTAGTAAAAAATTTAGAACTTAAAGGAGGTTAGTGCTCAATTAAACTAGTCAAAAGACTAGAAACCGAATGGAATCATATTTAAAAGACTGAGGAGTATCCAATGCAACTTAAGCAAGAAAATTACATATTATTTAAGAGAAAAAAAATTATATAATTTAAATTATATTAAATTATATAATATTTATTATTAAATAAAAATAATGAACGTATTTTTTATTTAATAATTTAATATAATTAAAAAATATAAAATAAACAACTCAGTGCTGTACTATTCTTAGTAAAGTTAAAAAAGAACAAATCAACAAGTACTAGTAATTTAGTTGAGTCATGGTACGGTGGGTCCGCCCTATTTCCCGCCTGATTAGCCTTCCCGTACAGTTCTAGCTTTTCTTTTTCTTCTGGGGAAAGTAGTGGCGGGGCCAGTGATCCGACGTGTGTGTGGGGTTTTGATTTTTTCTGTTTTGGAATTGTTGTATGTATATCTTTTCCTTTACTCGGGGAGGACGGTGAGCACGGGATTCCGGGGATTGTTAAAAAGCTGACATGGATTTTGACTCTTCATTAGATTTTGACACGACTGCTTCCCAGCAATTCCCCGGCAATTACCAATGGAGTGCGGTTCTGGCTCACGCTGGTGGCTGTACCCATATTTATGTCCCGTTTTGAGTGTGACATCTTTTTCTAAAAATTTTTATTCTTAAATTGTGAGGTGTGCTGACTCTGACTCCCTCGCATGGGGCTGCTAGAGACTTCTTGCTTTAAGCATTTAGTTTCTTACAAACCTTTTCCATATTCGCATGTAATCCCAACTAATTTTTAAGCGTACAAGACTTTTTGAGGGGGGGTTAATGTCACTAGAAAGTCCCAATCAAGTGCCGACGGGGAATCTGTAGATGGCCGACAGTTTTTGACGTACGTCTGTGGACGGTTAAGGGGTTTTTTGACTAGGAGTTTGCGCGTTAGAATAGAACCCAGTTTGGTACTTTGAGACTATACATGAGATATAAAAGCGTGAAAGAAACTTTTGTATGTGGGTGTGTGGAGAGTTAGAAGCACCGTAGGAGACAAGGAGGCATAGCCCTCTTAAATTTTAGTAGAAAATTTAGTTTGGTATTTTATTTATTTACTTTTTATCTTTTATTTTTAGTTATTTTATTAAAAGAGTAGTGTTTTTAAATTAAAAATTTTTGATTTTTTAATAAAAAATTAAAATTAATATGCACTATTTTCATAAAATTAATGTATAAACTTTTTTGTGAGCCTTAAAATACAAGAGAAAAGAGTTCTTCTTTGGAACTCAACAATCAACATATTCAGGCTCTGACGCTCTGTTTTCCTTGGAGATGGATACACTGATAGCCCATTATAGGCCCACAACTCTTGCCTTGGGAGCTACCAGCAGTTGCGCAGCATCCATTTGGATCAAACCGTAGGCCCATCACGAATATAATATTATCATTTTCGTAGTTGTTTTCTGTCTGCAAGATTTATTCTCTGCGTGAGTAAGAGGAAGGAATCAACCCAAGCTTTTCCGGCGACAGGAGTAAGAAATTTCTTTATTTCCCTTCTTAAATTCGCTCGGCATCACTTTGAATCCTAATTCTAAACTTTTAGTCTCGCTTCACTCAAATTTTCTCTGAAATTTTTGTTGTTTTTGGAGCAATTAGTACTTGGATCAAGAATATTTTCTGCAATTTATACTGTAGAGGGGCAAATCTTGTAGGTGTGATTTCTGCATTAGCTTCAATGGCTAACAAATCTAAACCGAAGCCCAGAAAACTCTCTGTCTACCTCTACGTTCCCAATCTCATTGGTGAGTTTCTCTTTTGTTTTTGGATTTTTGTTCATGGGATTTCAATTGTAGTGTTTTAACACTGGTGCTCTTTTGAGCTTTTTCCATTGCTCTCTTGTTGGTGCATGATTTAGTTTGGATGGATATACTTCATGAATACTGCTTTTGGCTTCATGGGTTTTCAGTTTTTTCTATCAATTCATGTTTGGATGATAAAAATATTAGGCTATGATTGCAGTTTATGTGTTTCTTTATGTTTTTTTCTTTGAGCTATGTTCTTTTGTGCATGTGGGTTTATTCATTTCTGTGGTGAGTTTTCTGGGTGATGAAAAATTTTGATAAGGAGAATATTATAGGTTGTTGGTTATGTATTTTATTATGAACACAATCATTTTGCTTCATGGTTTTATTGAATTTATTTGTGTACATTTGTAAATTCTCAATGCAGGTTACACGAGAATTCTTCTGAATTGCTATGCATTTGCCATCTGCTTTTCAAGCAAAAGGCTTTTCTCTGCTCTTTATTTTCTAAGGTGAGGCTCTGCTATTATCAGATTAACTTTTGTACTTGCTTTGCTTTAGAAAGCCTTTAATATGTAGAATTAGTAGGATATAATATGATTTTATTTTGGGTTGCAGTTTCGTTTGTGATGCAGTGGATGGTTGGTGTGCTCGCAAACTCAATCAAGGTGTGAGTTAATTCAATTTTCTTATGCCATTTTTTGTAAAAGTATGTAAGACTGCAGCAATTTAATAAACCTGTGCATACAAGTACGTTGATTTGGTTCAAATGTTCAAGATGTCTCAAAGAGTCTTAAATGGATACAATTCTCAAACCAGTTTGTTTGTCTGTACAAGAATCTAGTTGTTTCTCCTATTTATTGAAAGCTCCAATTTGTATACCATTGAGTGTGTGATGTTAGCAACTTTCATAAGTTAATTTAGATTTTGTGGCTAGTTTTCATGCCTGTGTTCAGGTGTTTGAGTGAGCCTTAAGTTACTGTAATCATGGATATACACTTTAATACTGATAATAATGGCAAGGGTGAGAGTATTGTCTGTGATATTCATGATGTAATTACCTTTCTCTACATTATGAACAGAAATGTTAGTTGCTAATAAATAAATTCTCTGGTGTGGCATTTGATTCATCTCTTTTCCTCCCTGGTCCAGCTTCAACATTTGGAGCTGTTCTTGACATGGTCACAGACAGGTAGACTTTCTAGTCTCTCTGTGGTTCGGACAGATGGATTTAGACACTGCTTCATCTTTAGCCATCTCTTACACTAGAAATTTTAATTATTGATTGTTTCACTAGTCCTCTCAGTTAATGTGTTTCATACTTCAGGATTAGCACAGCTTGTCTTCTAGTTATACTCTCCCAAGTTTACAGGTAAAGTTCTGCTGTTCATCATGCATTTTGTGTTAACCAAAATTAGTGTACAAGCAATTTTACATGCCAACATCAACTTTTTTGCAGCCCTAGCTTGGTATTCTTGTCATTACTAGCCTTAGATATTTCTAGCCACTGGCTGCAAATGTACAGGTAACTCTTTTGCCTTTGGCCCTGAACTGATTACTTTAGTTGGATGACTATTTGTTCTTCAGGGAAATGTCTGCTCTTACTAGCTTGTAGTACTTCCATGACAGTACATTCGTAGCAGGCAAGGCAAGTCATAAAGACGTTAAAGACAGCAGTAGTTGGCTTTTCAAGTTTTACTATGGGAACCGGATGTTTTTGGGTTTTTGTTGCGTGGCATGTGAGGTAATTATAACTCTGGTTGATCTAGTTACTGTAGAAAACTCTCCAATGCTATTGGTTATTTTCTCATGATCAAACTAATTTGCTTTGCAGGTTCTTTACATAACCCTGTTTCTTCTTGCAGACAAGCAAAATGAAAATTTGAAGGATGTGAGTCCTGTTTTCTTTTTCTGGTATTATTTTACCTGATATGTAGAGTGGATGCATCTTGATCTCTAATTTTTTTTTTTTCTTCTTCCAGGTTTTAATGTCTACTCTAAAGCAGGGTTCTGCCCTTTCTTGTCTGGTTGGTTTAAGTTTATTTGGATGGTCAATTAAGCAGGTTGTTAATGTTATACAGGTACCTGACTTTGCCTTTCTGATTTACATCAACACTCTCAATTTTTAAATTTGTGGGCAACTTACTGTACTGTTGTGAAATTGAAATGTGATATTCTCATTATCTGTGGTTCTTATAGTGTTTATTTCATGGTTTCAGATGAAGACTGCTGCAGATGTGTGCGTGTTTTATGACATGGAGAAAAAGCAGTAGCTGTGATTGATATCAATCTTCTCTACCTTGGGGTGACATCCTAGTTTTTGTCCAAACTGCCTAATTTTTGGATTGCTTTTACCTCTTTCTTCTAGCGGTTAACTTAACATTTCGTTTTAAATATTGTTTCTTGTTTGTAATTGTAATCTGCTTGTGAGCTGTAAGAAACTATGAATGTAATAATCACACTAATTTTCTCAAAAGTTAGACAAAGGCAGGAAATTTCCTTGTTATGCCCTCATCTTTGTGAACTAAACTAGGAAAAATGGTTTAATGCCATAATCTGACATTGAATTCGCCATGGATGTGCATGTGCCTGTATAGCTGTGAAGGTGGTGCAAGAGAGTTCATTTCTTCTGAGTTTTTACTGAGGTTCCATTTTCATTTTCTTCCTTGGTCACCGATAAATAAGCAACTAAGGGGACTTGATGATACATGATTGTTGTGCTGGAACCACATAGTCAGCCATGGAAGAGCATGATGCTGATAAACTTATACATGGCATTGCAGAACTGATCTTTAAGTATCGGATAATTCATAATGACAGGCAAATTCCATACAAATGAAATAGAGAACTTAAATCAAAACATCAAAATTCAAGAAAGGGTTCAATTGCAAGGATAAAAATACTCGTAAAAGCAAGATAATGAATCTCACCAGGACAAGATGCTGCGTAAATGGTATTTCTCTGTAACAAATCTCAATATCATTTCGAAGGCCTTTTGTTACTCTATGAGAAGCTTTTTCAAGCAAATCTTGATATCGAGTCAGATGGATCAATAAAGGCTATATCCAAAAAACTGGCTGACGAGAATGGCTATTCCAAGAGCAATTGCTATAAGGGAAGAAGCCCAAGTGAGCTTCTCTGTTATTCTGGGCACTCTATCCTTTAATGCTTGGCTGCATGAGACTATAAGTACAGTATAACTTCCCATTGCAACTACAGTTCCAAGCAAGAACATGATAAGGAATGCAGCGCCAGCCACACGAGATGGCAATGCCAATGCAGGCAAAATCATCATCAGTGCATCTGGCTGCAGACCATGGACGATCCCAGTGGCAAAAGTGGCAAAGCCTATCTTCTTCTTTTTCCCTAATGATGGGTTCTCAAGTGCTTCATAGGCACTAACATCGCACTCACCATTGTCTAGGGCAACACATGGAGTAGGAACTTCTGAAGCTTCCCTAATTCCCAAGGCACCAATAGCAAGTAGAGTTAAGCCCACCACTCTTGTACCCCAAGTCCGGATAACTTCAATGTGGAGGCGATCCTTTAAGAGTAGAAACAATAATCCAAAGATAACCTGACCAGTATCATGCCCACAACCCCACAGAGCTCCAACTGCAGCACTTTCCATTCGAGTACGGCCAATTGAGAGTGGAGCCAGAGCAGCTAGGTGATCAGGCCCTGATAGTGTATGTAAGCAACCAGCAAAGAAACCAGTCCACGCACTGCTTAATAATTCTCTGCCACCAACACCAGCAGCTGCAGGACCCCCAGTCTTAGCTGCAGTTTGAAAGGATGCAAAGGCTGCTGGAGCAAAAACAGGTTGGATCAAGAACACAATGATGGCAGAAAGTATCATAAATGTCCCTGCAGAAACTGCCTGAAAATGTGTCGAATACAAGAACTTCTGTAAGTCTTTTCACAAAACACAAGTCGATAGTCATAAACTTATTCTAACTCTAAAGAAAACGTTGTTCCCTAATTCAGAAACATTATTAAGATTTAGGAGGCAGTAGAAATTATTTTCAATCAGTGCATGGAGAAATTTGAGAATGAATCATCCATTTCCAACTCATAGAAGCAAAGACAACTTCTACCCAATACCTCAAAGTGATTGCCTTGACCATCAATTATGAGGATGGTCATAGAATGATGTTCCAGTTCCCTAATTGTTTATATTTTAGCATTTTACGTAGCACCCACCTGAATGATAAACCTAAAATGCAAGTATCTAATTTAGTCGCACATCATGGCTGACAAAAACTCTTCAAAGCTGTTCCTTATCCCCCTTCTCTTACTAGTTACCGCTCTCCCTTCTCAACCACTCACCCTTGGTTTTCCAAATGCGATATATAGAATGGGAAGCGAAGTTTCTATAACTATTAGAGTGAAGAAGCCATTTTTCATACAAAATACGTCCCCCATCATCAAAACCTCCAACATCCCTGAATAGGTGCTATTAACAATACCCCTTAGTTTCAAAATTTTATAGCAGCAGTTTCATCCTTGAAAGATCCAAAACCAAAATCCAAGCGGAATTTTACAAACAATTGCAATGTCCATTGTTATTCTGCTAAACTAACAGCAAGACCTTTTATTTAAAAGTTCATATTAGGAAGAGTAATCGATAATAATTGAAATACATAAGGGGAAAAAAAAAAAAAAACCATCGAAAGTCTCTAACTTTTTGTTCTCCTTCCCTTTCTTTTCCCATCAGCCAACCAACCCATTAAGTCAAATACCAATCTCGAGTTCAACACAACCCAAAACTAAGGAAAAGAGAGAAAAAGAATCATATTCAATTGGGATAAAACCAATGCAGAATACTTTATTAATAAAAAATTTGCAAGAATATTAATACCTTTCTCGTCCCAGAGCCTCCAGCGGCTATGAGATCGAGGAAATTGGCACTGGGTAATGATCCATTTGCTGAATCGCCTCTGTGAGAATTGTTAGACAGCACAAACTTGCTTACACTAGACTGATATGGAGAAACTGGAGATGGGTTTTCGCTGTTGCACGAAATTGAGCTGAGTCGCCTGTGCTCCGGTCGTGTTAGCGAAAGTAGATTCAATTTCGGCGAGTTAAATCGACCGAGTCGAGAGAGAAAGGGATGAGGCTTCTGGCAGACCTTGAAAGGGGTTGGAGAGGACGAGTATAGAAGCCTCTCCATGGCTTCTCTGGTTTAGCGGTATAAGAATTATGCAGAGCAGAGATGTAGAGTTGCAGAAGATAAAGTTTTGGCAGAAAGTAGAAAGGCAAGCGTGAAGGATAACTGATAACTGAAAAATTAGGAATTCTATCGTTAAGTTCCCTTCTTAGAAATCCAATTAATTTTGACCTAACCATGAGCTTCATTTTTTTCTTTTTCTTTTTCTTTTTTTTTCCTGATTACATAGAGCCAGACCATTCTCTCTAACTTTTTTGCTTGCTCTATAGTCTATATTGCATGTTATATTATTAGACTTCAGTCTCTATTGCTTTTGCTAGAAGAATAGATTATTAATGGGTTATTTAAGTTGTTAGCAACATTAAGCTCAAATTACCAACACATTCAAGATAAATAAAGATTATATATTTGTACCAAAGAACAAAAAAAATTACATGGAGATTAAATATTTTATAAATACTCATTAAAATAATTTGAATAAACTAATACTAATAAATAAGTTTTTGAATTTAAATCTTCAAATAACCACTCAAAGAAATGAATTTGATTGGAAGCACTAAATTGATATAAGAATGTACTTTTAAGATTACTTAAAGAAAGATTAATTTCAAAATAGATAATAGTCGATATGAAAACATCTGAATTGTCAATATATATGTATATATATGAGAATGGATCTATTTATAAAAAATCTCGATTATTTATCTTTTTATTGTTAATAATTAAGATTTATCACGATTATCTTCTATGTATATAAATATGTTATACATAAATCTTACATACTACGCTTATATAAAATTTTAATTATTCATTTCTTTATTTTTAATGATTAAAATTTATCATAATTTTTAGATAAAAAAATAATTCTCTTTAATAAATATTATAAAAAATAAAAATCTCAATCATTAAAAATGAAAAGATAAATAGCTAAGATTTTATGTAAAAATGATATATAAAATTTATATTTAAATGAATCATTTCTCATATATATATATATATATTCTCTTGTGAATTATACTCCTAAATGTTTCTTGATACTGAAATCGGGTTTTCAAACTCAATGATTTGTTTCCAAATCTTATAGCACTTGGATTTGTTAGTAAGGGTTTTGACTTTTATTAACGCTTTGGAAAAAATCTCCTCCCCCTCAAATTGTAGACGGTTAAAAAAATATATATTTCTTGACACTATATTAGTATAGAAAAAATATTGTTGATGAAGTAAATGTAGATTAGTGGGCCCTTTGTTAAATCCACTAGTAATATTATGAACAAAGGAAAATAATAATTTTGTTACCTAACATTATCATGGAAACTGAAAAAGATTTATTAAGTCACTTTTTTACTTAAATGGCCAAAATTCAAACTTTTATTATTTTTCCTTACTTATTTCATTATATAAAACAACTAGTTTTTTTTTTTTTTTAACAAATTTGACATTATTTACAAGTGTATATAGAGGATGGGAGAAATGAGTTCAATAGGGCTCGAACATACCACGGAGATAAAAGTTCTAATTCAGAGTCCAATATCACTTAATTGAAATGAATCATTCATATAAAACAACTAGTTAAAATTGAATCTTTAAGTTAAAGTGATTCACCTCAAGTTTCAAGATATTTGAAATAATTTTTCAAGATTTGAGATCTCATCAACACCTTAAAAAATTCATTCCTCTAATCTCCCAAATTATAAAGTGTTCCAAAAAAAAACCAAAGATCAACTAGTCGACTTGTCAAATAAAAATAAAAAAGGAACAAAAGGAACTAGGTGAAGTTGGAAGCATCTAGGAACTTTCGAGTTGCGTTAAAATTTGAAATTGGACTCTTCTTTGTTTTTTTTTCTGATGGATCGGAGTCGATTACTCGTGCGGCATTTACACCGCCACGTCGTTCGGCATGAAGTCCACCGTTATTGGACACTTGAAACTGCCACGTTCACATCCATCCACGCTGGGCTGCCGCCCGACGCGTCCCTCCTCGCGCCCCACACGATCTCCACACGGGCACAGCGGAACACCGCCAACCAGGCCCCCTACTATTGGGCTTCGTTTCGTGGTCTGGACTGGGTCCCGAAGCCAGACCCATTTATCTTTTGTTCACAGGCTCACCAGTTCACCCAGGTTAGTGGTTACCAAACAATGGGCTTCCTTTAGACCTTTTAAAAGTTACAATTCCCTCCGTCCAAACCCAACTTGCTACCTGGCTGGCCTGGCCCATCATTTTCCTTTTCATGATATCTGAAAATTTTCATGAAAATAAATTTATTTTTTTATTTTTT